GTTCATGCAATGGAAAATTATTAAACAAAACAATTTACTTTTATGTATAAATCCTAGGGAAGAACCGATCAAGCTAAGATCAATGGTTGTGGTTTTAGTACCGTATACTTCTCAAATATACCCGTTGAATAACGGAAATCCGCAAGACGGGGAGGAGACGAAGTCAACCTAGCTGGCAAAGGAGCTAACCCAGCTCCTTTGGTCTTATTTATGGTCATATGTATTTAGCAAAATATGGTATACAAACCGAACTAATCAACAACAAAACCTGGTTTTAAATTGTTGTATATTTCTCAAAAGTCAAAACCCATAATAACCAATGGAACAGAAGAAGCTAATGCAGAGCATACTTACGCTTGGAGTAAAGAGTGATGCAAGCTTCCATTGGCACACCCGAAAACGCATCAGAGCATGGAAAGAAACCTAAAAACAAATAAATTAAACAATAATTAAATCTTAGTGCATGGAAAACGAATCCTATACATACCAAAGTCCGAATCTCAGTGCCTTAGAATGACCTCGATACCAAAAACTTTAAGTTACTACTTCCATATATGTAATATTTTAGTTTGGGGAGAGAGATTGGCAACGAAGAGTAATTCTTGAATTTAACAGCCAAGTTTGTTATCCCTAATCTAAAGAGAGGAATACTTAAATTGTATTAACGACAAAAATTAGCCTCCTCTGAAGATTCATCCCTGAAATAAGTCATCTTTCTGACTTTGTGGCAACTGTGTTATCAAAAGTTGAGTGTTTCTTATGAGAAAAGACATATTTGAAAATAATAAGAACATGTACCTCAACAAAATCGGGAGGTACCTCATCTTTTTACAACAAAAAGAAACATACCAAACCATCGATGATTACCTTCTCAAAAGTTGAAACCAAACTTTTTGATTATAAAAATTGATTAGTGGTGAAAATAGTGAAACCATAAATACAAAAAAAAAAAAAATCAAATTTGTACATATAAACTATAAGATCACCTGTTTATTCATTGAATTAGGTCCAAATTTTCCATACACCAGTTCACATCGTCCCCTCCATACATCCACCCTACAATAAAAAGAAAAAGAAAAATTAGGTAGAAGCAAAAAAAAGTTTGAAAAAAAAAGAACAAAAAAGCAAGGGTTAGTTATGATCTGAAATTGAATACCATGAGCAAGGTATTTATATTGAATAGGAGGCGGTGCATGATTTAGAGTTTCTAAATTTTTCTACGATAAATACAAAAAAAAGAAAAGAAAATTTACATATTTTAATAAGCAAATCACTATCATAATAATAAATATTTGTAAAACTGCCATTTATTCATTGTTATCCATGTTTATTTAAAATAATATTTACTTTTTTCTGTAAAAATATGGAATAATAACAACTATTTTAGATTTACTACTATATCTGATACTATCTTATAAAATATATTAAAATTTAAGGGAAAATTCCTTTCTGTTTCAAAAATAAGGCGGAACAATAATATAATTTTTGATTTACAATAGATAGACATGCATGGTATCCATATGCGTCATGTCACGCTGATCCATATTTTTTTCCAAAACTCGATCTAATTGCTATTATGTGCAAAAATCACCGCCGTTCACGTTCATGTTCACGTTAGCACTCCATACCTAATTCACATGTAAACCTCTCTGCCTATCTCTGACTTCAGCTCTCTCATCTTCGAGTCTCCCCAAGAAAGTTTTGACACCACACCAACATTTCATTCGTCAAAATTAAATCGAGTTTGCACAAGGTTACAACCGATTAATAGGTGGTCTTCTACCTTCTATTTACGATTTTATGCTATGAATATATGTTTTTGTCAGGGTTCAAGTCAATCTCCAGATTAGAGACTTATAATCATCCGACGAACAATACGATGGCGTGATAACCGTTTCTAAATTGGTGGGTTCTCTTTCATTGATCTACATATTATTTTTTTTGACGACGAACACGACGATCATACCAAAAATTTCATCTATTCCGGTACGTTTGATCTTTATTTTAATTAGTTTAACAATTAATTGCCGTTTACGATTAATTTCGGTTATCTAAATCTTATTAATTTGAGTAAGGTTAGAATAGTATTCTTTTATGTTTATATTAATGCTCCGATTAATAATTTTCGGATATTTGACATTATCATCTTAAATATATCAATATTATAATAAATATTTTCCTTTTCCGATTTTTTTTTTTGGTATAATTCCTTTTCCGATAAATTATGAAACAGATCTGTTTACACAAAAGGTAAAAAAAAAAAAAAAAAAAAAAAAAAAAAAAAAAAAACCATCAACCGTCTCCATTCACACGTTTCTTCATTATGATCACGAATTCACGTTCATGGAAGCTTCATCATACATTAACACTTACAAGTTTCTTCGTCGAGTTTTTATCCAAGGTTTCTTCGTCAACTCTGTATCCAAGGTAATAAATATTTGTTCTTTTCATTGGTTAGAATTATAGGGTGCAGGATAGTATTGACGTCTTAAAGACATAACATGGGCAAGATACTATGAGAAGCTTGACTATTCTGCTTCGACAGATCAACAGGTGAAATTCTATCACTAAATTATTAGATCTCTGTTATTGCTATGAATATATGCTTTATGTTAGGATTTCAAGTTTTGCCTTCGTTTAGAAGAATTATATTCACACGACGAAGAACACGATGAATTCAATTAAAGCTTCCTAACTGGTACTTCGTTGTTCTTTTTTTTTTTGGTTAATTATCATGTTTATTGTTTCCAAAATTATTTTTCCTGGTTAATTCCGAAATTCAATTTAATTTTTCCAAAATTAATTAGATTTCATTAAGGGTAATTAAGTAATTACGTAAAATCAATGACTCAACAAGAGCCGAGAGTCCGACACGTCAGCAAAAACACTTCTCAAATATTATTATATATAGATATCATGTTTATTGTTTCCAAAATTATTTTTTCCTGGTTAATTCCGAAATTCAATTTAATTTTTCCAAAATTAATTAGATTTCATTAAGGGTAATTAAGTAATTACGTAAAATCAATGACTCAACAAGAGCCGAGAGTCCGACACGTCAGCAAAACCACTTCTCAAATATTATTATATATAGATGGATCAATCTATCTATTGTTAATTACTATTTGATTTGAAAATTCATGAAATTTAATATAGCATAAGAATGTTTTTTTTTCTTACATTAGATGGTATAAGAGTTCAAACACACAGTGCAAAATAGTTCGATCACCTTGTTAATTGATCTAAACAAAATTTAATTTTGTGGAGGTAGGTAGAAAAGAAGATGTGATAAAATAAGTTAAAACTAATGGTTATAAAAACTACTCCTTATTTTTAGTAAATTTGGAAAAAATACCCTCTTTTTGTTTAGACTTTTGAAAAATACCCTCTTTTTTTTTTCTTTTAAAAATAATTTGTAAAGTTATAAAATTACTAAAAAAATTCTTATTGAAACTTAATAATAATTAAGCAAAAGGATCTATATTTTTAATCTCAAATCAATTTGTTGGTAATAATTAAATATCTAATTTTTACAAAGTTGTCCGTAGACCAAATCATGTTCGTCTTTCAACATGGATGTTGTTTTGTAACTTTGAATGTTATATAACTAATAATTCCAAAGATTCATTATCCTAAATATTTTTTAAGAACAATAATGAATAATAGCATTCTACCAATGTTAAGTATGATTTTTTGTTAAGTCATATGGTGGAGATTTTAATGATTCATTATTATTGAAAAAGAATAAAGTAGTTTACTTTGGAAAAATATGTTAAAGAGAATCGTTTAATTGAAACAAACTTTGGTAATATGTTTAGTTAAAAATGTGTTTCATACGTTGGAGATATTTTTCTTTATATAATATGATAGATATTAAGCGATAGACTGTATAATATTGTTAAAATTTAATAGATCAAAATAAAAAAACTATTTTTATCTTGAAAATATATATAATCATGATTAATATTATTTCGAATTTAGTATATATTTTCTCTAAATTTCGATTTTCTTATTTATTAAAAATATATCTCTAAATTTAAATTTGAACAAAATTATCATCTTATATATAATTATAATTTTTATTAAAAAAAATAGAAAGGGGGTATATTTCAAAGTATAACTCAAAAACAGGGTATTTTTCAAAATCACCCTTTTAAAAAAGTGTGAGGTAAAAAACTCACATCGAAAAATAAAAAAAAAGACTGGACTATTAGTCTATTATAGATAAAAATATGCGACAAATAATTCACTAAATCAGTTGGTTTTATGTTGAAAGTCTATAAAATTTAATATATATTTTTAACATACATTTTTAAAAAGGCAAAAGAATGTTTGGAATTTTTTTTATAAAAAGAGCATATATCTATAACCTTCGGTTTAAACTGATATTTTTCAATGTCTCTTTTGGCTCTCATTGATCCATATGATATTTTTTCTTGTCATTCAGTTTTGGGACTTCAATCCATCATTTGATTTATATTCCTTTTAGATATTTTTACCATCACTATTGTCTACTTCTTTATTTATTTATTTTAAACTGTGTAAAACAATATGAATTATATTTATAATCATTTTTCTAAAATCTTATAAAACATAGTAAGATCTTATAAAACATAGTAAAAGTGCTGTAATTGAAAATTAACAGCATTTAGGAATATTTTTAGAAAGAGGTGTTTTTCGAAATTTTCCTTATTTATTTAAATAAATGAATAAAAATGACTCTTTACTTGTCTCAATGTTAAACTTCTGAGAATTAACAAAAGAAAGAGTTATCAACAAAAGTATTAGTTACTTATATAGTTATATTGTTGAAGACTTTTGCAAAATTTCTCGACTAAATGTGAATAGTATCATATTTTTTTTTTGTCGTGAATAGTATCAATATTTAAAAAACAACAACTAGCTACAAAACAATAAATAATCAATTTGAATTATGAAATATAACCATATTTAAAAGGACACACTTTATCTGTTTTGCTTTATATATTAAGAACCGTGCTCTTCTCCTCTATTCATCTCTTCCTCACCACTTTTCTTCAAACCCTCCATCTCTCTTTCTCTCTCTCTGGTTCCCTAGAGTTTGAGCAAAATATCACAACCATAATTGCTATTATTACTAAAAACACACAAGTAATCGTTGCTTCGATCCTTTGTTGCATGGATGGATCCTCCACAGGTAATTTATTCTTCTATAATTTTAGTTTTTCATAACAATTTTTGTTTTGTTTATAATTCTGAGCTATCTTAATACTTCAATCCAAAATTTTAAGAACACTAACACTTAAAAATCAAGGTAATACTTTTCAACTTCTGCTCATAGCAACAAAAAATTCATCAAGAGCTCACCAATTTAAAGATAATATCAACTTGATTACCCTTACCATTTTCTTGTAGACAAAAAATTATTGTCGGTAAAGAATCGGCGCCACGTACGACTAATCCGTTATATAAAGCAAATCATCATTATTTCATTCGTCAGCACAATTTAATTTAATTTGTTTGAATGTGTAGGAAATCTCAAACGAGACTTTGGAAACCATATTGGTAAGCTCAACAAAAGGAAGCAATAATAACAATAAGAAAATGGAAGACGAAATGAAGAAGAAAGTATCAAGAGGAGAATTAGGAGGTGAAGCTCAAAATTGTCCAAGATGTGAATCTCCAAACACAAAGTTTTGTTACTACAACAACTATAGTCTCTCTCAACCTCGTTACTTCTGCAAATCTTGTCGGAGATATTGGACTAAAGGCGGTACTCTCCGTAACGTTCCCGTTGGTGGTGGTTGCCGTCGAAACAAACGATCCTCTTCCTCAGCTTTCTCCAAGAACAACAATAAGTCTATTAGTTTCCATAATGATCCACTTCAGAACTCTTTAATTACGGGAATGCCACCATCATCTTTTGGTTATGACTCCATTGATCTCAACCTCGCTTTTGCTACTCTTCAAAAGCATCATTCATCCTCTCAGGCTACTACGCCTTCTTTTGGGTTTGGAGGTGATCTTTCTATTTATGGAAACTCAGCCAATGACGTAGGGATCTTTGGAGGACAAAACGGTGATTTCAATAATAGCTTGTGTTATGGGTTTATGTCCGGAAATGGTAACAATCATCAAAATGATATCAAGATGGCTTCTACATTGGGGATGTCTTTGGAAGGAAACGAGAGAAAGCAAGAGAATGTGAACAATAACAACAATATCTCAGAGAATCCTAGCAAGGTCTTATGGGGATTTCCATGGCAGATGAACGGAGATTCTGCCGGAGTTGTACCGGAGATTGATCCCGGAAGGGAAAGCTGGAATGGGATGGCTTCATCTTGGAATAATGGTTTACTCAACACTCCTTTGGTCTAGAAGATCATTAATAAATAAATATATAATATTACTATATATTAAAGTTTATGTCATCACATGTTTGTATACCACTTTCACTAATATGGGGGATGTTTGGTTTTTTTTTTTTTTTTAAAATAATTTCTAGGGTTTCTATCCTTTTTTAGTTTCCCAATTTTTAATGTTGAGACAAGGACCTAAGACTTCTTTTCTTTTAAAAACAAAAATATTTTCTTTTTTGGTATTTTAATTTGTGATTTAATGGTGGCTGGGGTGGTTAATTATATGTTTTTTTTATGTAACGGATCTTTTTTTTTTCTCATGTTTTTTTTAAAGTTATGATTTGATCATAGTTTATGAAAAGTATTAGTGAGTGAGTGGCATATCAATTTATCAATCCTTTTGTTGGATATATCTTTGTTGATAGAAATATATCAAGTGGCATATAGTTTTGAGGAATTCTTTCAATAATACAGATAAGTGAAAATTCAAAGTAGTTATTGTTGATTAGGTTAACATGTTGTCCATCAAGGCATCAACATTCCACTGGTTGTTGTCAGAGGCCAAAAAAACATTGGATTTTGAAATGTGAGTGGTGAGTTTCAAGATATTCTGTCATGATTGCTTCGTATTTTCCAGGTAGATATTTTGGACACATTTATTTTATTTATTCATTTTGGCAAATAGTTATGAGTATACTTAATTATTAATTGATTTGAATAATTATTGGTTGATAATACGGCCACATTGGAAGAATTTTATAATCGTTTCTCAAATCTCTTGTACAGAATCAAATCTAACACACAGATTTGAGCGTGACTACCTATGGCACTTAAATTTAACAAGTCTACATAATGCAGTAAATTATATTTTCTTAGTTTGAAATAGACATTCTTTAGTAGGGTCCAAATAAGAAAACATAACTGTTGAATAAAATTCCCGAGTTTGAAATGTGTTGATACGATGAATTTTGTTTTTCAAATTTTTGGATTTAGGGGTTGTTGCCTACCGACAAAAGGGTCAAAATTGGTACGAGCCGTATGTTATATTTGAAAAATTAGTAGCCAAATCGATTTATTAAACAAATTTAATAATATGTTTGGATACGAGTCACGTAGGAAATCAAAAATCGAATTTGTTTTTTTTATAGATAAAAAGTAGATGATGTCCCATGCTGATAAATATAAAATTTAAATATTAAATACATTTTTCTTGAAAATTTGTAATGACACTAGATTTTAACCCGCGGTACACCGCGGGGCTATATTTTCTTAAAAAAATCAAAATATAATTTGTTTGATAGATTATTTTGATTGTTAATTTTAGGATTTCACCCGTGGTATACGATCTTTTATAAATATCAACCCAAACCCGTCCCACCATATTACCCGTCCCGTGAAATTACATTATTTAGTTATTTTTCTTTTTAATAATACTTTTATTTAAAAGCTATATAATTGAAGTCAATTTAAAAATTTCTTTTAAATGGTTCCCATAAGATATATATACATATATATTAAATTTGTATAGAGTCGAAATAATATTAATATTACAAATTTTTTATATAATTTAAATATTATAAATATTTTTAAAAATATGTAATATATATTTTTTGTTATTGAATAAGAGGATATTATGTGTAAGAAATGTAGAAAATAAGAGTTTAATATTTTTATTATGGAGTGGCAAAAAAAATCTTTTATTTCTATACATGTTATTCATTTATTAATAATAAAAGAAAACAAATCCTTTAAATTAGATATTAACTAAAATAAACGCATCATAATTACTTATTAAGTAACAACCAATAAATTTCACCAAAAAATAGGTAACAACCAATAAATTCTAAACGCAGTAATTAAAGAATGAGATATTAAAAAAAATATCAAATAAGATATAAGAATCTTAAAATAATTGAACATCTAAATAATTTAATTGTTAGTGTCGATTTTAATGCCTTCATTAATGTGGTTTTTTTTTTTACAGAGAAATATTTCCTAAAGATTATCACATTAATGACTCAGAAAATTAAGGAAGATATGAATTTATGATTCTCGAAATCGTATTGGTAATATCTTTAAGTAATATTTTTCAAATTTAAATAATTAATGCCAATGGCATTCATCCGTAAATAAGGTCCAACTCCAGGATTTATTTGCTAAAAGTCATTCAAAAATGTATATATAGATTTAATCAAAATTTCAGGTAGTTTGATATTTGCGGTTTTTGAATTTTTAAGATTTTTATTTATAGTGAATAATATTTGAATTAAAGTACATATTATAATAATAATTGTAGTTACGAAACATAATTCAAATTTAATGGTAAAATTAAAATAAATGTGATGGTTTCTAAATACCTTACTCGATATTTTAAAATTTAAAATTTATTATTTTGTTTACACATTAAACATTATGTTAATTGAGTTTTGGTACATAATATTGACTAAAAATACTCTATCAATTTAAATGGTAACTTGGAATTCAGCTAATATGTAGTAATATAATGTTGACTTATTTTAATTTCTTTTGCTGAATTAGTGAACCTAGTAGAATAACTAAAGGGAGACTCACAAAAATGCCCCTTTTTTAATACTCCTTTTCAAAAATGTCCCCTTTGGCTGTCCATTTTTAAAAATACTCCTTTTTATGTACAAAATGACTAAATTACCCTTCTTTTAATAAAATATATCACAAATATATAAGAAAATATAACAAAATTAGGTCCACAAAATACAAAATATTTTTTGGCGGGAAAAGTGATCCCGCAATTTTTCCCGCCAAAACACTTGTAAAAACTTGTAAAACCTTTAAAATACCTTGTAAAATTTTCCCGTAAAACTTTTTCCCGCCAAAAACTTTTCCCGCCAAAAATTTTTTTTTGCGGGAAAAGTGATTCCGCAATTTTTTTGGCGGGAAAATTTTCCCGCCAAAAATTTACAAGGTATTTTAAAGGTTTTTTACAAGGTATTTATAAGGTTTTACAACGTATTTACAAGGTATTTATAAGATATTATAAGATTTTACAAGCTATTTTATAAGATTTTTACAAGTTATAAGGTTTTATAAGTTTTTTATAAGGTTTTACAAGTTATAAATACCTTATAAAACCTTATAAGTACCTTGTAAAACCTTTTAAAATACATTGTAAAACCTTACAAAACACTTGTAAATACTCTGTAAAACCTTTAAAATACCTTGTAAATTTTTCCCGCCAAAAATTTTCCCGCCAAAAAAATTTCGCAAAAAAAATTGCGGAATCACTTTTCCCGCAAAAAACTTTTTTTGGCGGGAAAATTTTTTGGCGGGAAAATTTTACAAGGTTTTTTAAAGGTTTTTACAAGTGTTTTGGCGGGAAAATTGCGGGATCACTTTTCCCGCCAAAATATATTTTGTATTTTGTGGACCTAATTTTGTTTCAAATAAGGGTAAAATGGTCATTAAAAACTAAAAGAGGACAAACTTAAAAATAGACTCTCAAATGGGGCATTTTTGAAAAGGGGTATTGAAAAAAAGGCATTTTTAACAATTTCTCATAACTAAAAGTACAAATGGTAACAATTAAATCTAGAATAACTTATTTGTATTTTTAGCAGAATATAACAAAATAATTAAATATTTAAATAGCAACAACATACAACTATCTAGAAAAATATGAATATATAAGAATAACTAAAAATATTGTTTAAATAAATAAATAGAATTTTAAAAACATGTAATTAATTGATAAAAGCGTAGTAAAAAAACTGAATTTTAAAATTACCTAGTAGCTAAATTTTTCATTTATGGTAGCTTGAACTTTTTTATTCATTATTTTTGTTGATTCAGTCATTTAAAAATTTAGCATATTTACCTTATAAACTCGAACACGAATCGTTCAAAAAATGATTTTGTATATATGAATTTTCCATATTTTGTATTCGATCATTTTTTGTAAGATATATTTCAAGTGTTATTTTTAGATATTCTAAATATTTTTGAATCTAGCTGAATTTTAGTTTTGACCAAATTATATTTTTGAATTACTAACTTTTGCTGAATTCAATTGAATATTTTTGTTTTCTCACCACTTAAAATCTACATCCTACTGCAATGCCACATCTTCTATTTTAGTGGCATGTGACCCTCTTTGTAGTATCCTATGAAACGGGTAGATAAAAACCAGAATGATTACATGTAATCTTCTCATGCAGAAACAACTGAACGGTAAGTCGAGGCCGAGTTCCAGCTGGATAATAATCTATGTTTGCAGAGTTGAGGTAGTCAATAAAGAACTCAGTTTGGATACTAATCTATGTTTATGGTGAAAGGCGATCCTAGGTGCAAAAAATCCTAGATGTTGCCTTCCACCTAAGGCACACACCTTGGTCGCTTTCCAGATGCAAGGTGAACTTCAAAATAGTAAGGTTACTTGCCTTAACTATTAAACTAAAACCAAAACCAACTTTGAAAACAAAAACATCTTTGAAAAGTAATATCTAATATAGTCTTAGCTATTAGACTAAACTCAAAGTAAAAAGAAAGCTAACATAAAAAAGCCACAATTGTCTAAATAAAACTCTAAACTTAAAAACCCATCTTATCATTACCATCAAACTCATCATCCGCAAAATCTTCATAATTTTCATTTCCTCCAAAATCATCATTAGTGTCATTCTCACCATCTGCGTCAACCAACGCCATATGAGATGGCCTCTAAGTTTGAGATGCTCTTGAATTAATTGGAGTTTTTGGCTGAAACAAAAGCAATACACTTTCCTTGCTCAAAAATACTATGCTGAAGCTCTACTAACATAGCTAGGATCATTGGCTCCAAAAGCCTTGCTCAAACACATGATACATATCACCAATAAAAGAGATATATAGATGAAGATAAAAAAATAACACGATATCACTTCGGTTAATTGTTTAGGTTCCTATTTATATCAAATTGTGACATTAGCTTCTTATTTGAAGTGATTATAGCTAACAAGAGAAACATAAGCACAACCTGAAATCTATGTTATCATGTCTCATGTGTTCCTCGCTTTGCAATCACATTGTTCTTCACAACCGTGATCACATGTCCCTTGTTCATCATAGTGAGCCACCAGAACTATAGTCTGAAATTATCATTTTATTGATTTTGTCGGTTTTAGTTGCCACATCAAAATGACGAAATTAACATACCGTTTCAAGAAAATGACGGTAATAACGGTGGAAACACAATATAAATACAACATGAATATATGACCAATAAATTTTTAAAAAATCTAATTGTGAAGTTTTGAAATTAAACATAAATGCAAACATCTTGTCGTTTTTTCTCCATTGCCTAAACAAGTCGAAACGGTGTTGTTTGAGTTTAGGGAATTAACCGAACTGATTAAGCTCCTCGGATGTGTAATGATCTCCGGAAAGGATGTTCCTAACCCTGCACAAGACCGGACAAACGACGGATACAAAAGGCTTCTACCCATCCGGGGAGCTTAATCAGTTCGGTTATATACATCTCCAACACATCATAAAAGGTCAGTAAAAGCAATAGATATGAAACCTATGGCTGTCTGCGGACACTTGAACTTTCTCCTGAAAGTGCTTCCTCATAGCAGAAACTGAACAAGAAGATTGATTTATTATTTATCGTCACACAAAAATAACTCAAGAGATAACAAAAAAGTGGGTGGTGAGACAAGTTACCGATGAGATCGAAAAAAGATATGATTATTTTGCTTCTGAAACCATGCAACAGGCCTTCCACCAGAAGAAGGGACCTTGGGGAAGAGTGCTTGTATCATTCTGGCTGTGCCAACACTGGCCTGAGAATTAAAACTCTTCATATGAAGCTCAGGATAGCGGGGGCGGCTCGGGGGATTTGCACAATTCTGTAAAACCAGAAAAAATGAAAACCAAGTTGAGTTTTCTGAATGCAGATGTGAATATATAAATATGCAAACCAAATGTGGGATGAAATCAATAACCCTGAAAACAGCGGATGCACCATTCAGCAAGCTTATGATAATGAGTATATCTGCATAACCAAACAAGAATGCAAAGATATGACACCACACATCCACACCAGAGAGGTCTAAACTCGGATAATTATATCATATCATTCCGTTTTTAATACTTATTAGATGTTTTAAAAAGAAAATTTTGTTTTAAATTATATGATGTTTTCAATTTTTAATACAAAATTAATTACGTATTTTTATTGGTTTTGACTATTTATGTTTTGCAGATTGTATTAATAGAATCGTATTGTTTTAGTATAGAAATTAAATAAACAAAAATGCTGGTAACAACCTTAAACATCACGTATAAAAACGGAGGGAGTAATAAACACTGACCATGTCCAAGAGAGTTTGTATGAGTGAGAATTAGAGATGTAAAACGTCTCCTTTTAGCTAATGCTATGACCTCATGCAATTTGGATCTAATCCCTCTGATCATATATCTAGAATTTGGGAACACTGAGAGCAACTCTTTTGCAATCAAAGGTCCTCTCTGAGGATAGCTGGGAAAGGATAACTAGTGATCAAGGTCTTAGGTTTTATTTCACCACTCAGTTTCCTCCCAATCAAATCCTGCCCAAAGCTTATCATCATCGAGACTCGTAATCTTCTTCATCTCTGCGCTCGCCGTTATCATCACGTCCATTTGGAAAAAAAATTCGGCTGCCTTGTGGTAGGGTTTTATCGTCTGTGTGTTTTTATACTTAAGAGTTAAGACAGTATTATGGGCCCTATTTGGGCTAATGAAATTTACTTTGGTTCTGTTCAATATTTTCTAATTGGGCTCCCGTTTTCATATAAGTTTAAACTGTCTTAAATTTGTTATACTTTTTATCTCATAATTTTTCATTTCCTAATAAAGCAACTACTTCATTTTTATTTTATTTTTCCAGAAAAGGGGAATTCATTTTTTTTTTTGATCGGTGGGATTTTTTATAGAGAAAATTAGCAAGTTCAATCTTATAAAATTTGGAACATACTATTTTGAAGAGTCCGAATGTGTAAAATGGTTGCTCGGTTCGGTTTTGTATGTGAGCAGATCAATGACCTTGCTCTTGGTCTTGAAAAAAGTGAGCAACGGTTTCTTTGGGTCATACGGATTCGGGAGTCCGAGTGCGACTGCTAGTTCTTCATATTTTGATTCGCATAACAAAACCAATCCATTAACTTGTTTACCACCAATCAATTCTTTCTACAATCATCACTTGTTCACGACAAGCTTTCTCATGTAAGTGGGATTCACAGAGCGGAAGAGCTGACTCCATTGCTTATTCTTTCGGATCTCATTCTGGTGGTACTATGAAGTTAAGAGCTGTTGGTTTCCTCTTTGGATCATTGCTATGGCCTCTATAAAATCATCATCCTCAAGATTTTAGTAGCAGAATTATTCTGTGGACATGGTTTTGGTAAGAGAATGTTTGCGTTAAAACTTAAAAGTGACAATGCCCTTTACTTGTCTACTGCTTGCTACTCCTATGGCAGGTTTGTGATGTTACTTGGCTACAAACTCATGGAGGCTTCAAGGTTCTTTGAACAGTATTCTTCATTTGTGATACTCAACAGTTTTATCAAGCTCATCTTGGATTCAAGCCACTCACGGCAAATAAGATCTCTCAAGTTCACATGACTATTGAAGAAGAGGACACCACCTTGATTCATTTCTCTATAATCCAGTTTATGAAGGTGTCAAGTCTTTCTACATGGAGGAAAATGAAACTGTTGCTTTCTCATAAAAGTCCTTTTAGCACAAAAATTCTTCAAATCCAAGATGTCATACTTCCATCTTGCGGGGGCGTATTAGAGATTATATCTCTCTGGTTTAATGTTGAATATAGTGCGGTTATCTTCGGTTATCTATCATGTGTATAGTTGGTTATCTCTCTTAGTATTTAAGCTTTCTTTGTATCATACTTTACATTTAATGAAGGTTTCACGATTATTGATAGGATATTAAGAGTGAACCAAAAGCAAAGGTTTTGCGATACCCTCTTGAGCTCCACAAGCTCAAGTCTTAGCGCATCCATCCACGGCAGGATTTTTGACTCATTGCGGATGGAAATCGACTCTAGAAAGTATAGTAAACTCTAGAAATCCACGGCAGGATTTTTGACTCATGGTCATTATACGCCGAGCAAAAGATGAATGCGATTTTGTTGACCGAAGATATTCGTGTGGCGTTTAGGGAGCATGCAGGGGACGATGGGGTGGTGAGAAAAGAAGAGGTAGCTATAGTAGTAAAGGGATTAAGGGAAGTAAAGAAGGTAATAAGGATTGATGAAAGGTGAAAAAGGTAAAGGGGTGAGGATTAAGGTGAAGGAAATGAAGGAAGGAGCTTGTAGGGTATTTAAGGATGATGGTTCCTCTACAAAGACACTAAATCAGTTAGTAGTCTGACTTTGTAAATATGGTTATGAAAATATGGTCATCTTGTAAATATGGTTATGAAGGATGATGGTTCCTCTACAAAGAACTAAATCAGTTAGTATTCTGACTTTGTAAATATGGTTATGAAAATATGTTTATCTTGTAAATATGGTTATGAAGGATGATGGTTCCCTTACAACATTAAATGAACACTCATATCTTGTAAATATGGTTATGAAAATTTGATTTTTATATGCGTAATGCGTTCTTGTCAGATGATTGTGTGACTAGTTCTGATTTGAGTCATTTTTGATGGGCTTATAAAAAATCTATTAGAAAAGTACTTACAAAATACTCCAGAAAAATTGGGTCAGTTTTGTTGGACTTGAAAGTTAGTTTGATTAGTGTTGTTTGGAGTGGTCCTGGACTTTGGGTGATCCAATAAAAACCAATTTGTATCCTCTGTATACATGTTCCAGTTTGTTTAAAGCCTAAATAAAACAAAACAAAATACAAAACAAAAGGACTTGAGGAGATCAACTAATAATAAATGTGTGTGTGTGGAAAAAAATGGAGAAAGAAATTAAGAAGAAAAGAAGAAGAGGTTTTCTGACTTGTGTGTGTAAAACAAAAGAGAAAAAGACGTGTGTGTGTGTATCCTATTGAGTATTGACACATTTAATGTTAGAAAAGGTTTGTTTCCGTGGGAAATTGGATGTAACATTACTGCTGCTTCATTACGTGTGGGTCTCTTAATTTTTCTTTTCATGTCAAGAATTCAAAGCAATTAATTATAGATACCGAATATACATATTCCGGTAAGTAAACTATTAGACCAGACCATATTTATATATGCATGTTCATAATTATTGGCATTTAAATAGATACTAGTAATATAATTAATATCCATGTCCATGTGTGGATCGTTTCTAGCATATTCAATATACAATAATACAAGAATGTTGAAGAGTTTTGAACTAGGTTTGTTCTTATGTATTGCTAATAGCCTACCAACTTATGAACTTATTGTAGCTACAATCGAAACTGAGCAATTGACTGGTTCATCTCTTTTGTGAAATATGTCTTTGTGAAAAATACTTGAAAATATGTCATGAAGATCATTTCCTCGAATGAGATATGAAAATATTAATCACGTATGTTAAATATATTAAAAACTTGCATAAGCCTAGAGAGATGTATGAGAATCGGTCCGGAACTTCCTAGTTTATAAAAAAATAAAAAAATACCTATGTTTCTCACAAATCCTGTGTATATAGTTTTAATCCGTAAATTTTTTTTTTGTGTTTAATAGAAAGAAAAATGTGTTATTTTTATGCATTGTAGTGATAGAAGGTTTTACTCATTTTTTTCAACTGCTAGGATTTACATCAGTTGAATGGTACGTATGTGGCCTTTTGAAGTTTTCACATTTTAAAAAATATGATTCCACCGAATACATACATTTTCCAAAACCTTGCACTGAATGATAAAATGAAAAAAAAAATTGTCATATGGGATTTAAGAATGACAACTAAATGGTTTTTTTAATTTTGTAAAGAATGACAACCAAATATACTCATATTATATAGGCTTAATAACCTTGACATTATCGTAATAATAGTATGTATATCGATCGTTTGAATTCTAGTGATGA